AAAAAAGCAACAGAGTTATTAGGCACAACATTTCAATTTAAGTTCTCTTGGAAGAGCACTGGGAACAGCTTTCAGCAAGTGATTCACATGTTTTTCAGAACATGGAATAAAATTTGATCACGAGGCATCAGAAAAAAAATATGCAGGAAAAAATTTTAAAGGAAATTTCTAAGGGGATGATTTGCCATTAGACATAGGCATTTCACATGCCTTCAAGTCACATATTTGAAATTAGGTCCTGTATCTAAAGCAGCAGTGTAATTTGCACATGCCATTGCGTAAACTGCAACTAGCTCTCAGACTGCTACAGTTTAAAATTAGGATCTTTCGGCATTTGGATTAAATCACTTTACTGTGTATTTAAACAGTATGGTAGTAACAACTTTACTAAGTTTGGCCTGGCAGATCCCAAACTCAAGGAGCCAACTCACAGGACACCACGGGATCAAGAAGGAAGTCGACACTGTTCAAATTCAGGAAGCACCTCTGTACATTTCCTTCATCCCACTGAGAAATACAGGGAGGTTTCAAGTAGCTCATAGTCCCTAAATACCTAAAAAGTAGACTCCACACCTGTTTGTTGGAACTTTTGCAGTAACAGTGCCCAAAGCGGAAGGATAGAGGGTTTGAAACTGGAAATTGAATGATCTCCTGTGAACCAAAAGCCAAATGTGGTTTGTAGGTTTTAAACATTACTATTATTTAACAACAGAAAAAGCTTGAAATATTAAAAGTTCTCTCCAACTAAGCCACCAATTATAGCTTTATAAACCTGAAACTTAACTGTCAACACAAAAATGCTCATTTAGTAGAAAACGCTTCTATCTTACCCCTATTATCCAAATTTCTAATGCACTTCATTTAGTTCCAACTATTTCAGAATACTGTCACAACACAGCAATGCAATCACCTGATTGCTGAGTACTATTTATGAGTGCACAATGTAGGGAGCTCCAGCCAGAGAGACCTTCACCCTTGAGAGAGAAAGGTGGAGGCACTGCATTCAGTCTTACAGAGAACACCAAAGTAAGTTGTAGCTATTGCATCAGGGTGAGGAAAAATCCTGTACACAAAAAGTCCTGACACTTGACTACTGGGCTTCTAGATACAGATGTTTCTAAGTACTCCACAGTATAGACATGTTTTAATTTCTATTATCATTAACATCCATTTCCCTTTTCCTTCTTTGCTTCTTTCAGTTGGATGTCAACAGAGTACAGTTTGGTGCACAGGTACTGGAAGTCACATTTTGCTGGCAATACAGGGACACACAGTTAAGTTCTCTGAATAGTATTGCAACACTCCAGCTGTTTTGACAAAAATGTCACCAGATAACAAGCTCTTCTAACTATTCAGAGCAGCCAAAAGATACACAGTAGGCAAAACAATAACATCCCTAACCTCCAGACAGTGTCATTTCACACAGCAGTCAACAACTCAAAATTCTAGAGTGCAAGGCCAGAAGAGTTCACCTACATCAGTCTCCCACATACCTCTGGCAGCCAAGTCTCACACTGATACTGCAGATCAGTCCCCAAGATAAAAGGACATTACGCAAAAGCACTATGCCCTCACAGGACTAAGCTAGGTTCTGTGCACAGGGATGAGGGAAGAACCCCACCGCCAGTATCCTTGGCAATATAATTATCAGGCGGATAAGGTACGTCAAGCAGTTGGGAATACAAAAACACTGAAGACACAGCATAAGCTGCTTTAAAGCAGAGGGGAGAAAAACCATAAGAGAACCATCAGTGTCTTGAGACAGCAAGAGCCGGGGACAAAGCAAGATGTAATAGAAGTGAGCAAGTGAAAGGGCCCGACGTGTGAGGACAATGACGCAAATAGAGCCCGTGACCGGGTGATCCAGCCCCAGCAGGGTCTTCCTTTGCTATGACCCTTGCAAGCTGTGCTGAGACAGCACTTATTTCTACCTCCAAGTCAGAAGACAGGAAAGATCACAAGAAGAAATTTAATTTAGCTGACATGTGAGGTAAGATCAAGAGTCCCAAGAGAAGACCAGGGAAGCTGACAATGGAAGACTGATGTGGAAAACTAGACTGCTTCCCTGGGACTGGTTTTATTTAATATGTGCTGTTTTCGCAAATACAACACTAAATGCAAACTAATAAAGCAAACTATGCCAAGAGGAGATTATCAGACATAATCCAGACACAGCTGCTCTAAACAGGAGTGTATGCAATCTCTTTTGCACTTAAGCAGTGGAATCAAAATACAAAGAAGTCTCCTAAAAGCCTCAATCATGTAATATTCAGGACTTCTTTTCTCCTTCACTTCACTTACACTCTCTGTGTATTTTACTGATTCAAATGAATCCCTTAATTTGCTCCTACAACAGCCCATTACCACTGGCTCACTACACAGGTCCTCTGAACACCAGCAGGCTCACAATTCCTCCGGCCTTAGATTTTCAGCCAGGTACTTCCTACTTCTGTGGCAGATATAGCTCAATGATTCTGGAAAAAAAAAAAAACAAACCAAAACACAACAAAACAAAACACCGAAGGAACAAAGAGAAAAACGACCACATAACAAAACAGTAGCAAGTAAAACAAATTAAAAAATCAAAACAAATAAACCAAAGCTAAACAAAAAACACACACACACAAAAAAAAAAAAAAAACAACAAACTGTTCCCCAGAAAGAAGAGGTAAAAGAAATGTACCGCTAAACACGAGATCAAGAAGCCATGTGTGCTAGCTGCTCTCTCAGGAACAAAGGCAGCACTCAGACATGTTTGGTGAGCACTGTTTTAGATTAGCCATTCATTAAAATACTATTAATGTGCGTAATTCAAGGGGGGTGGAAAATAAATCAATAAATTAAAACACTATCTTTCTGGCTGCCAGGCTTCTTATGACGCTGACACTTAGGGCTTTTTCCACATTTCCCTTTATCTGTTAAACTGCAATCCAGATGCTATTAACAGTGTCCCAACTGCCTACATTTATTGCATGGGTTTTTTTGTTCTCCTTCTGTTTGAATCTCAGGTCTACACCATCCAACACCACATTACTATGCAGTCTTATATGTATACCATTTTTAATGGAAAAAAAATCAGCTTTTTCAACTTTCTTAATAACAGCTCACTGGTGTCTCAACAAGATTAGTTCACTTCAGTGAAAAGGCAAAAAAAATGAAGAAAATGCCACTTTTGGGGTTTGGTTTTTTTTAGGAAGTGCCAGTTAATAGAGCCTTTTCCATGCCCCAGAAGGTATTTTTTATCTTAGCTCCCGGTATCTGTTTTGTTTTTCAGGGTGCTCTACCTCAACATACTTCCATTTCATGTTTGATGGTTCCTACTTATGAGATCTCATCAGCTCAGCCTTTCAGTCATGGCTCTTTCAGAAAACATGTTTCTTGAAGTTTAGTTAAGTGACTACATTCTGCATGCTTATGATAAAGTTGCTCATTATCATCTATGTAAATTAATGCCGATGTTGTCTACTGTGTTCACACAGCAGATGGAAATGAAAGATACCATTTTCACAGTAATTCTCCATTACAGTGACCAGCTTCTTCTTCAGCTATTTACACACAACCAAAGAATAAATCTAACACAAGACCACATCATTCCAGGCTGCCAAAATGTTTTTGTCCTGAAAACTCTAGAGACCAAGAATAAACAGCCTGAAAAGGGAAGATACTTTCAACAACTCAATCATCCAGCTCATGTTCTACCACTAGTCTTAGTGAATGGTGTACGAATACATTTTTAACACAATCAGCTCCAAGTGGAAGTTCAAAACCACATTTCCTTAAAGGACACTTTGAAAACATTTTGACCACAAACCATCAAAAAGAAAAAAGAAACACCTGTAACATATAAGCATTCTTTGGCCACTAAGAATCGGCTTCAATGAAGAGATTTTGGCAAAGCCTTCAAAATGGACTAGACAAGTCTGTGTTTCACAGTTTACACAGAAGTGCATGAAAAGCATTTTAAAGATAAACTTCACACTTGTGCACCTCTCCTAAGTCCTTAAACACAATGTATGTTTAATAAGAGGGCTAAAACTTTATTCAGTAACACTCTCCAAGAACAGCGCTCTCCCCAAAACAACACATCTCAAGATGCTCAGCTGGCATCTTATTAACACCATCACTGACACACGGATTTTGATTCAAAAAGGTGACAAGCAGCTGGATAAAGGAGCTGCTATCAAATCAACACGTGTGTGTGGAAGAAGAGCTGAACTATCAGCAGCACACCAGTGCCAGTTTTTTTATCATACCTGGCAAAGGAGCTGAGAACATTAAAACTACACTTTTAAGCCGCAGGGCACGGCTGGCGCTCGAGGACGCCCTGTGACCACGGCTTTCAGTGCAGGGAGACACATCCCAGTAGCGTGAGCCCTGTGGCAGATGGTTTTCCCCGGGGATTTTTTATTATTTATTTATTTTCTGGCACAAGGGGAGCAAGAGACGGAAAACCGGAGATGGCGAGCAAGCCGCTATCACTGTAACCCACCGTGCAGAGAAAGTGCCCGTAACCTGTTCAGCCAGGGGACGAGGTTTGGTGGCAGGATGAAAAGGACATAAGGGATGCGCCTGAAGTAACAATGCACGGTACAAGGCGAGTATACGGAGTGACAGCAGCCCTGCTTCCCGACAGCGCGGTTCACTGGGCGGCAGCGACTCAACTCGTGTCCGAGCCAACTCCCAAAGTCAAACCCGGCTCCTCCTGGCTCCTCCCGGCTCCCGGGGCTCCGGCTCCCGCCGCCCGGGATCGCCGCTCCCGGACACCGCACCTGCCCCCCGGCCGTGCGGGCACCTCCCGCCCCGCGGGAGCGCAGGTGGCGGCTGCGGGCCGAGGCCGCCCCGCGGCTCCGCCGGGAGGCACCGGCACGCCCCGTCCCCGGCTCTCGGGAGGCACAAATCCACTTCACCCAGGACAAAGCCAAACCCTGCCCGGGCGTGACACCCCCCACGCCCCCATCCCATCCCATCCCATCCCACCCCGCCGCCGCCGCCCCGCTCACCTCGCACGCACAGCAGCGACATGGCGGCCCCGGCAGCCGCCCCCGGGCTCTCCTCATGCCGCCCGCGGACACCGGGCGGCGGCGGCGCCTGAGCCGGGGCGGGGCCGTCCCGCCGGGGCAGGGCCGAGTGACGAGAGGCGCGTCAGGGGCAGTTCGCGCCCGAGGGACGGGGAGCTGGGGGGGCCGCGCTTGGCTGAGGGGGTTGGGTGCTTTGTGGTTTGGTTGGGGGTTTTTTTTCCGGCTTTTGTCGCTTTTGTTTCGCTCCCGCAAAAGGCGGGAGAGCTCGCTGGAGGAGTGGCGTCCTGGCTGTGTCTTTTCGCGGGAGTTGCTGCCAGCGTTTACCTGTCCCGTCCTCGCACAGGTTGTGGTTTGCTACCATAACATCCCGATTTGGAAGGCACCCACAAGGATCGTCGAGTCCTGCCCCTGCACGGGACACCCCAACAATCACACCATGTGCCTGAGAGTGTAGTCAAAATGCTTCTTGAGCTCTGTCAGCCTTAGAGCTGTGATCACTTTCCTGGGGAGCCTGTTCCAGTGCCCAGCGATCCTCTTGGTGAAGGACCTTTTCCTAATATCCAACTTAAACCTCGCTTGATAACATGCCATTCCCTTGGGTCCTGTGGCTGGTCACCAGAGAAAAGAGATAAACATCTGTCCCTCCATATACCCTCACAAAGAAGTTGTAGACTGCAATGAGGTCTCCTCTCAGTCTCCTCCAGCATGAGTAAGCCAAGTGTCCTCAGCTGCTCTTTTATGGCTCTAGACCCTTCACCATCTCAACTGATGATGAAGAAGCTTGACAGATTCGCAGCAACAGCCACCTATATCCCCCTGGTACAGAAAAAGCCATAAGCAAAACACTTCGGGAAAAGCAGGACAAGCGGGTGTGATTACTGTGCCCTAAGTCCTCCTACAGTACCCTGCCAGCTTCAAAGGGCAACCACCTCTGAGGGTTTTCAGAACCTGATGCGTTTGTGCGTTTGGTAACCCCTAATCCACCTTTCTGCTCTTCTAGTCTGTCTCAGACCCCTGCAAAGTCCTTGCACCCTCATCTTCTCATACAGCGACTCACAAGTTGGCAGAAACAACCTCCTGAGATGGTTTCCCTTGAGCCTGGTTCTAGTCTGGTTTCCCTGATTGTCTCTAATGCTTTCAGTCCTGCTTCATCCCAAATTATAAATAACCATAACACTGCAGAATGTGCTTTGAGTTCCAAACAGAGGATCCAAGGTGAAACAAATAGTTTCCGAAATTGAAACTCAGCAGCAAAATATCATATGATGTGATTGGTATTCCATTAGCATTTAGAACAACTCAAAAGTCTACATAGCGAGTGGAAGACAAGACTCTTAGCTGCGTGTTTCAAAGACACAACAAACATTCCCAAAACTCAGACCTAGCCAGGTGAGATTTAATTTCTGCCCTGTCCAGCACAGCATGTTTTACTATCTTTGTGTTTGCAACCCAGAAGTGCATCAGTGAAGGGAATGTGTCAAAAATATACGTAAAGCTTTCCCGAGATACTAAGAGGAAACACTTGTAAGGATAAACCATGATGTGCCTGCAAAAAAACAAGCAGACTGTGTGCTAAAGGTGTTACCAAAGGCAGACTCAAGGGACTGCGAACACTTCCACTTAGCAGTGTGAATGGGGACTGTCAGTACAGGGAGCTGCAACTGCCAGCACTGAGGCAAGCAGGAAACGAATCTTCTCTTCTTGCCCCTGAAGTGGCTTCAGTGCTGCTGAAATGCTGCTGGACTCCTGAGAAGCTCTGCTTTGCTTCTTTACATGTTCATCAAGTGCAACAGTGGCAGACCGTAAGGGTTCCAGCACACCAGCCTCTGCATTTTGGCTGTACATCATCAAAGCCTACCCTACCTGTCAGCTGGACACAACACTGACTTTCCAGTTAGCTTGAAGAGAAGTTAGCGTTTTGATCTAAAAAGTCCATTATTATTTATCTCACATGTGCCTTAGGGTAGGATGCCAGATCCCTGGCCTTTTCAGATCTCTATCACTCCTCTGCATTCATCAGAGCCTGGGAGCTTTTTGTCACCAAAAGGTGTGTTTGAGGGTCCCTGAGCTGTCCTGATCCCTTTCCTTTCCTGTCTTCTTTGAAGCCTTCTTGCAAATGAAAACTCCTAAACTTTGCATGAGATAATCTCTGCCATAAACACACATTCCCATCATGACTGCTTTCCTCCCTTTGCTGGGCCCCACTGCTCTGCCTGTCCTAATTTAAAAATTAAAGCCTTGGAGGCCATAATTGTTACATACTGCATCATGCAGCACCTGGTACAGCCAGTCCCTGTCTTACCCACAGCTTGCAAATGCTACCAGAATATAGAAATTATCTCATCAAGGGCAGATGATGTCATATGAATTTTTAAAATCATACTAATATGTTATTAGCAAGCATGGCAATCAAGTATGCGTCTTGTAGCTAGGATGAGATATGTAACCACTAGCAGTAACAGTGAAGGCTGGGATTATCACAGATGTTATTTCCCTGCAGTTCTGAGGTCTAATTAGACGCAAGTGTTTTACCAGGCTTTATATAATCAAAATAAATCATTTGTACTTGCGTATCTGTCTATCCCTCCTCTTCTTTTGACCTCAGATAGGCTGGAAGAAGGATCAAACCACTACTGCAAAACTTTTGCAAGGCAGAATTACCTTCTTCTAAATTATGCTTGCTCTTTGAAATCAACTTCCTTATGTTTTCCCAGCTGAAGTGACTCCCCAATGCAACTTTCTCTGTTATTGTTTCTAGTTCTTCCTCTGGACATTGTTGTCATAAATATAAAAATAGTTTAGTGATAAAAATACTGCAGTAGAAAGAGGAAAGAAAAACCCTGCACTGTCCTCATGCTCTTAAACATGAATTATCTTTCTAGGTTTATTCCTATAAATCCACAAAAAGGAATGCCAGGTTTACAAATACTTAACTATAAGCAAAGCCCTGGTCTGTTGTAGCAGACCAGATATAAATTCTGCAGCTGACATGTGCTCTCGTAGCTCAGGCAGCAGTGTATTTTTTTTTAATGGAGAATTCTACTAGATTAAAGAGGAAAAATACAGTGCAGCGAGCACACTACAGCAGCCTTCATACACACTGAAACTATATGTTTTTCTGAGCAACAAATGAAGTACTCTGGAAACTCAGAAAGGAGGCATTACTGCCAACTCTAAAGTAATACCTGATTTTTCTCTTGCTGCAGAGCAGGAGTTAATTTTTTCTGGTTACTCAGACCCCAGCCATTGGTCTCGGTTCACCTGCTGTTGAATAGGAAAGTAATAAATGGGTGATACTACACTCACTGCAGCTTGCCAGCTGTTTTATACCTGCCTATTTACTGTACTTTCCCTGTTCAGAGTGCAATACTGTACCTATATTTGCAGTCTAAGTAAGCTGTGTTTGCATCTTCTCTTCTTGTTCTTCTGCATTTTTTGAGCTTTGTATTTGTTGCTGGAGAATGGCTCAAGCTGAAACTTAGTGTGTAGCAAACCCATGTGGGCTTTATTTTAAATGAAAGGGTTTAGGTCTGTTAAACCATTTTTTACTGTTATGCAACTGAAAAAAAAATCATCTCAGACCTGTTTTTTGGGGATAAGCTCTGAAGATAAGGAGAAAAAGCTTTTAATTTACCCTATGACATTTGGCAGGAATTCAGTGCTGAATATAGACTAAGCAGTTGATTGATATTCTGATATTGGAAAGCAGCCCTCATATTTATTTGACTGTAAAATAACAAGCTACCGAAATGGCTTTCACCGGTATTTCTGATCTGTTTCTTTATTAATAAAATGTAACGTTTGCATAACCACTAGGGGATCATAGGATCTCTTTCACAATACTGTGTGGTGTCTTACCCATGTGCAGGAGACATTTCAATATCATCCTGAAATGCACCTTCCCCTGAAGTGGATCGCAGCCAATAATCAGCGCACAAGGTAAAGAACACCACATACATGCACTGAAACATGCAGGGAAGCAACCTGCAGTCTCTCAGTTATATATGAACCAGAATATTTGGATTTAACACTCAAAAATACCCAAAAAAATTTTAAAGGTCCCAGAACAGATAGGACTTCTGCACCTGCCGGGCAGCGAGAGGAACAGGGCAGGGCAGCAACCTCCACCAAACAAGCAGCCAAACTTTGGGCTGCAGTTTAGGGCCTCCTCTTTCCAGTGTCCCAGTCTTGGTTTTCATAAAGATTGGTGGCATCTGGAGGTGACAGTGGTCTGGCAATTAGAGGCATTAACCAATGGTTTAAGTTTAAGTGCTTCTTGGATCAGTGTCTCTCCAACTATCCTGCTCAACTGGCTACCGTGCCACTGAATTCCCTGTACTGAGCCTTTCCTTTTGGCACGCTCAAGAACTCTCTGCAGCCATTTAGCTTTCCTCCACAAGTAGCATGAGCACTTGGGTAGGGTTTAGTCTTTGTGCCTTAATTCACCACCCACAAAATGGAGGTGGTGATATTTCTTTAAGGAAGGAGGTATTAAAGATAAAGGGTGTCCTGATTATAAATACATTAGCGGTGATGACATGCGTGGACACTGTCGCCTCCATTTCAAACAGCACAAAGAGATCTGCCAGCTTTTAGATTACGAGGCATATTCAAAAGACTGGAGGGGCAAGAAGCATCCTTTCATCTCAAGGAGAAAACCCTCTACATAAGAGAGCAGCTTCCATGGGAACTGATCTTTCAATTAGAACTGCTCATGCTGGAGTCGATAGAATTGAACCCATTTCTCATACAATTATCCCAAGCATCCCAAATATGACATTTCTTATTCATATTGGGGCAGTTTGTCCTTGAGCGACACAGTAGGATTATACTGCAGGCTACACCCAGGGCTACACACATGCAGTGTGGGATCTTTATCCAAGCAGTGAGCAGCAAAGCCAGCAACACAGGGTCTGTGGGAAGTAGAGACTTTAACAGGGATACTTCCCCAGGATCTGATCATGCACACCAGGACTGGTGATGCCTGCTAGTGATCCCTCACTTAGCCAGCAAGGACAGTGGCACTACTGCTGCTTCCTCAAAAGCAGGTGTGTCAGAATCACGGAAACAACTAGGCTGGAA